CCACGGTCTGCCACCAGCCTTACTTCCCAACATCCCTGTCTGCTACCAGCCGTACCTTCCAACACCCCAGCCTGCCACTGCTCCTATCTTCCATCGCCCGGGTCTGCCACCATCACTGCCTTCCTCCCAATCACACACAGTCCACTGAATAAAAAATAACTGACTGATAATACCTGACAATTTGAATATAATACCCCCAGTCTCATGATTAGCTTAGGGCATACAAATCTTCTGTACATCAATCACATTTGATTCGTATAGGGCACTTCCACCTAATCTTTGATGAGCTACTAACCTACCCCCCCCCCCCCAAAAAAAAAAATGCAAATGATGCAAAAAACAAATGCAGTATAATGCAATCCTTTGTTGACTACGTTTCGCCCACACAGTGGGCTTTATCAAGTCACAAGCAGGTCTACCTGGGTAAAAAGTACATGACTGTACATATGGGGTGGAGAGTCAGGTGGTGAATGATGGGTGGGTTGGATTTGAGACGGACCTGCACGGGACGGGCGAGAATGTTGGGTAGATTTTATACCTTGTATCTCCACTGACGCAAGACAAGCTTGCATCACAAAAGACGTTTCGCTTTCTGTAGAGCTTTATCAAGTCATAATGACCTGAAAAAGCGAGACTTGGCTTAATAATGTCTTGGACAGCGTAAGGTGACTTGATAAAGCTGACAGAAGAGGTAAACATGACTTGATAAAAGAGACGAAAATGTTATTTGATAAAGCTCTACGTAGAGTGAACAATGACCATAAAGCTCTACGCAGAGCTTGTTCTGTAACGTATTTGACCTTTGTTATTTACAAACCTATATGTGATTTGATGATGGAATAATGGTTAAATATAATTGTGATTATCATTATAATGAGAGATAGTCAATCTCATGAAGTTTGAAATAAGCACAAACAACTACATGGGAACTTGCGCTAAACCAAGTGCGATACTCTCACCGCCAGATGTTTCGCCCACATCGCGCATTCTCAAACTTGAAGCAACGTTTGTTGATACTGCAGGATTTTCAGTCTGTCTCGGCTCGAATATTTGCTGTCGTTAGGTTTCAGATAATTCAATATATTATCTCATCCCATCACTGGTAATTACTTAGACATTTTTTGTCAGGAAGGGAAGACGATGTGGAGGAGGGAAGAGGATGTGGAGCAGGAAGAGGAGGGAAGGAAGAGGATGTGGAGGAAGAGGAGGGAAGGGAAGAGGATGTGGAGGAAGAGGAGGGAAGGGAAGAGAATGTGGAGGAAGAGGAGGGAAGAAAAGAGAATGTGGAGGAAGAGGAAGAAGAAGAGGATGTGGAGGAAGAGGAGAAGAAGAGGATGTGGAGGAAGAGGAAGAAGAAGAGGATGTGAAGAGGAAAGAGGAGGGAAGAGGAGAAAACAAGGAAGAGGAGTATGAAGGAGAAAGAAAGAGTGGGAGAGAGAAAGGGGAGAAGATTACAAGGAGGTGAAGAAGTACGAGGGTAAGAATGAAGTGAATTAAGAAGATAAGAAGGTGAAGGAGAGGGAAGAAGATAGGAAGGAGAGAGAGAAGATAAGGAGAAGGAAGAAGATAAAGTGAATAATAAGGAAGAAGATAAGATGAAGGAGAGAGAAGAAGATAAGAAGGAAGTGAAGGAGAAGGACGAGGATTATTAAAAGAAAAGAAGAATGAAGAGAATGAAAGGAAGGATGAGAAGGAAGAGAAAAAGCAAAAGAGAAACAGATGGAAACGAAGGAGAATGTAGATAAGGAAAATGAAGAGAAGAAACAGAATGATGAATAGAGGCAGATGATGATGAGGAAAACAAGGAAGTAGGAAACGATGAAGAATAAGAGGATAAGGAGGAGGAGGAGGAGGAGGAGGAGGAGGAGAAGTAGAGGAGAGAACAAGAGACAACTTTATCATGGTCTCCGTCAACAACAACAACACACTATTGAAGCCAGGATAATTTCACGCCTCATTAAGAGCGCCTGAAGTCATGAAGTGTATAATTAGTGAAGCATTAATTAACACGGGAAGCTACTCACGAACGTTTACCAGTGAACGTTTGGAGCCGGTCTTGGCAGCTGATGCTGAAGTAGCTGATCTTAACAGCTGATGCTGGAGTAGCTGATCTCAACAGCTGATGCTGGAGTAAATGATCTCAGCGGCTGATGCTGGAGTAAATGATCTCACCAGCTGATGCTGGAGTAAATGATCTCAGCAGCTGATGCTGGAGTAAATGATCTCACCAGCTGATGCTGGAGTAAATGATCTCAGCAGCTGATGCTGGAGTAAATGATCTCAGCAGCTGATGCTGGAGTAAATGATCTCAGCAGCTGATGCTGGAGTAAATGATCTCAGCAGCTGATGCTGGAGTAAATGATCTCAGCAGCTGATGCTGGAGTAAATGGTCTCACCAGCTAATGCTGGAGTAAATGATCTCAGCAGCTAATAGACACCTGGTCTCACCAGATGATACTCAAACAGTTGGTCTCACTAGCTGATGCTTAAGTAGCTGATCTCACCAGCTGATACTTAAGTAGCTGATCTTACTTGCTGATGCTTAAGCGGCCGACCTCACCAGCTAATGCTGGAGCAGAGTTAGGGAGGGAGAGGAGGAAAAGGTTGGAGGGATAGAGAGGAAGGAGGGAGAAGAGGGAGGGTAGGAGGTAGGGAGATGATGGCAAGAAGGAAAGGAGGGAAGGGAGTGGGGAGAAGGAGAGAAAGATGGAACAGAAGGAGGGAGGGAAGAGGAGGGGGTGTGAAAGAAAGGGAAAACAAGATTCTGCCTAAGAAGAGATCCTCTTCCTTTCAGACTCCTGCTTTCGCTTCATTTCCTTTCCACCACTCTTCCCTCCTTTCTTTCCCAGCCTTACCTTTCCTCCCTTCTCACTATCCCTACCCTTCTTCAATTCCAGCAATACATTCCCTTCTGCCTCCAACCTAAACTGCACAATCACCAACCACCTTACAAACCTTAGGAAAATGGGACCTCGATGCTTATACATCCCAGATTCTTAATAGTAAATAATTAATAATAATAATAATAATAATAATAATAATAATAATTATGGGAAAGTGGAGAAGAATCCTTCCTGTATAAGCCACGCGTGTAGTAAGAGACTAAAATGCAGGGAGCAATGGGCTAGTAACCCCGTCTCCTGTTCTGTATAAATTATTAAATGTAAAAATAAGAAAAAACTTTTTTTTTCCTTTTTTTGGTCACCCTGACTCGGTGGGAGACGGCCGGTATTTAAATAATAATAAATAACCAGTCACTCCACAGTGGTTGGTCCCCTTCTAAAAATAATAATATAATAATAATAATAATAATAATAATAATAATAATAAATAATAATAATAATAATAATAGAGAGAGAGAGAGAGAGAGAGAGAGAGAGAGAGAGAGAGAGAGAGAGAGAGAGAGAGAGAGAGAGAGAGAGAGAGAGAGAATGCAAAATGATGAGATCTCCATTTTTCATTTTGACTTCCCACACAAACTAACATAAAAACTACCGCCGCTCCGAGACGCAAGGACTCCCGAGTTGTTGACCGTCCTGGATGCTTCATTTTTTTTTTCACTTCGAGTATGAAATGCAATTTTCAAGGCTGTAATTAGTTTTTCTTGGGCAAAGATCTTTCTAGAGACCTAATTCTTTTACGGGAAGGTATCTGTCTGATGAATGATAATCAGCAGGTAGTGAGTAAAAAACTGTGTTGAGTGTGTGTGTGGGAGAGAGAGAGAGAGAGAGAGAGAGAGAGAGAGGAGAGAGAGAGAGAGAGAGAGAGAGAGAGAGAGAGAGAGAGATACTGCTGACTTTTTGGGGTTATCTTAGGTTCTCTACAAATATGCTGCTATGTATGATAATCTATGTAACTGTATTTGTGTATACCTGAATAAACTGATTTACTAGTCTGGAGCCCAAATTCCCTCTTACCAATGCTGAGGGAATGACCCCATCATAGTTACTCCTTCCACTATCTCCAGTGATATGTTCACCTGTTTTCGACTGAAGAGGCCTGTTGTACAGGCGAAATGCTTCTCCAGTAAAGATACCTAAACATCCCTCCATTGCACTGAAGTCAATATAATTATTCAATATCTCTATATTATAAACTCTTGTAGCAGATGAAATGTCTCACTTAGGAAGTACCTCAAAACATACAAGCAAAAAAATGTCCATAAATAACCCAGACAAGAAACTCAAGCAGACCTCGCGTGACGGATGCACCAGTTAGACTTCCTCAGTGATATTACATCCTTTGATGTAGTATTTAATTCGTTAAAGAGCGGGGCAAGTGGTTGCTGACGTGAGTCCTAAGTCATATGTTGACCCGTTGGCTGGCTGGACACTGATCATACGATCGTGACCATCCGCTACCTTACCTGTCCACTCCATAACAAATAAAAGATTACATAGACTTAAATCTAGGATATATTATATCCCAGGATATAAATCTATTATATATGTCCTTAAACTTAAATCACCCCAGTGATCCAACTCACAAAAAAAAATTAGTTTCTTTACTAAGAGAACTTATCTCTATTGGATTAATTTGAGTGATTGACATTAAACTGTAAAACGTAAGGCAATTATTTTTGGTCTTGTTATCAACCTTCATCTAGGTCGTGAAGAGGGCCTTTACCTAGATCGAAAAATATTTACAATATTTCTTACTATTTAATATTATCATATTTATTAATATTCAGATATTGACTCGTGTATTGCATACCTGCTAGCCACAATAACTTACTTATTAAATTTACATGAATATAAGAATTTAAGTTGAGAGCCAATTCAAAAAGGATAAATATATAATAGTTATCTATACAATTTCGGCCTTCGTTAAGATCCTCTTCAGCAAATAAGAAAAAAAAATTAGGTGTGAGGACTCAACTGACGCCTTTTTCAGTAGATTTTACTGAAGTTGAAACATACAGACAACATTTGAAATTATCTTAGCCAAAGCAGAATTCATCCAGGATTTACATAATTTATTGAAAGTGTAGGGGTACTTACTGTGGTCGTTTTGGGAGTGAGAAGAAGGTAGAGCAGACAGTAGAACGCTGAGGAGAGTCAGCAGCTGACACACTCGACACATTGTTTACCGTCTGCACTGCAGGTTATGGTTTGAGATCCTGGCCTCGATGTCTCAATTTCCTAACAGGAGACTTATATTTTTGCGTTTCTTAGTCTCCACGTCTGTTTATATCTATTCTCCGTCTCTCTTATTCTCCGCTGTATATATTTCTCCCCTCTGTCCTTACTCTCACCGTCTGTACATATTATTTTTTGGAGTTTATCTTGCGCTGCTGACTGGCTCGTTTTCACGTTTTCTTTATTGATGATTCACTCTCTCTCACACTCTTTTCCTAGGAGACGTTGATCCTTTCTTTTACCTCACCCCCTCCGTCTCTCGCCTCGGCCGAGATATCTTTATCTATTCCCAATAAGCTCGGCTTTTCTCTCGTGTCCTTAGGGACGCTAGCAAGAGAGTTTGTCTGTCTCTCTGCTGGCCAGTATCACTACCTCTCTCCCAGTCTGCAAAACTCGGTGTTCCGACACTATTTCTTTTCCACCTTCCTCTTGAGAGACGAGAATGTCTGGGAGATTTTTTTCTCAACTCACGTCCCGTCACCTCTATGTCATCTCAGTGATATAAAATCTATCTCTATGGAACACATGTTTACAGCCGTCCAAATTTAATAAGCTGCTGGGACATGTCTTCTTTGGGATATGTTTACCGACCTTAAAAATAAAACTAATTAGTACGACTGACTGGCTGAGTTGTTCCTGCAGCCAGAAACACGACAAAGACTCAATCTTCAAAACATGTTTATTCAGTGTTATTATTACGGTTTTTCTAATAGGTGAACGATAACACCACTTAAGGTGTTATTTGTTTTACGTTATGTTCCAGTACGACGATGGTAATATATCGTTCAGTGTCAGCAAGCTATATAATAGTAATTTGAGCGAAACTTAGCATCACTTGCCAGGGCAAAACTGTGAAAAATTGTACTTAAATTGTTTTCTAGATTACCAGATAAATATTTATTCTCCATTTACGAAAAGTTTATTCCTCTGATGTATAGTTACACATTAGATTTATATATTTATAAACCTTCAAATCATTTAATTAAACGTGTATTTGTTACTTAATGTTGCATGCCTTCTCTATTTTCGTTTTTTTTTTCCGATTTACATTATTAAATATATTTTCGATCTGTTCATATCAGACTCTGCCATGTGTATTGTAGAATATGAATAAGCACGAGTTCTGTGAGTCCATAAAGTCTTTTTTCCGATTTCATAATGTTATCGTCACTATCTGTTGAAGATATGAAAATACAGTTTATTCCATATAATAACGGGATGATGGTAACATAAGGTTCCCTGATAGAGGGGCTGGGCGGTGATAGTCCCTTCAAATAGTTCAAACTCTCTACTAAATATCACGGATTTAGGCTTCTTATAGATTTGTTTTTAAGGATTATGATTTTCACGTAAAGTAGCTAACAATAAAACATTCCGTAGTAGAATAAATTATGGCTAAGAAAAGTCAAATCGGGTATTTTGGTCAATAAGTGAAATAAACTGTGGTATCGATTAGATGCTAAAGTGGGAAAAACGGTTGTAGAGGGAGTGGTAGGCAAGTTTGAGGTGCCAGGGGTAAATGATAATGGGGGTCTTAGACTGAACTTTGTATAGAAAGAGGTTTGGTAATATGTAATAAATATTATAAGAAAACGAGAATAAATACACGAGAAATGATGTAGTTTGTTGGACTGTGTATTGGTGGATAAAACGCTGATTGGTAGACTCCTGGATGTGCATGTTTATAGAGGTTGCAAAAGATATATCAGATCATTATTTAGTTGTAGCTACAGTGAGAGTAAAAGACAGATGGGGTACATGAAGAATGGCATCAGCGAGTAAGAGAGATGAAAGTTTATAAATTAAATGAGGAGGTATTTAGGGAAAGATATAAACAACTATTAGGAGAAAGATGGGCTAGTGAGAGTATAAGTAATAAGGAGTTTAAAGAGGTATGGGGTAGATATAAAAATGCAGTGTTAGTGTGTGCAGCAAATTTGTGGGTACAGGAGGGAGGGGAAGAGATTGGTGGAATGAAGAAAAGAGAATGGTAAAGAAGAAAAAAGTAGTTCATGAGGGGTTTTTGCAAAGCAGAAGTAATATAAGGAGGAAGTATATGGAGAGTAAAAGAGAGGATAAGACAGTGGTGAGATAGTGTAAAAGGAGATCAAATGAGAGTGAGTGAGGTTCAGTCAACAAATTTATGGTATGTGGGATAGAGGGAGATTATTTTCTAGCAAAAGTACGCATTAGACAGGGATGCATGTTGTCACCATGTTTAACATATTTATAGATGAAGTTGTAAAATAAGTGAATGCTAGGGTGTTGGGGAGAAGTGTGGGATTAAAATGTATATAATCTAATACAAAGCGGGAATTGTCACAGTTGCTTTTTGCCGAAGACACACTGCTTTTTGGAGATTCTGAATGGAAATTGCAAAGGTTGGCGAAGTATTTGGAAGGGTATGTAAAAAGAAATTAAAGGTGAACATAGGAAAAAGGAAGGTGATGAGGATAACAAAAAAGAATAATAATGAAAGATTGGATATGAGACTGTAAGGGAGTATAGAGAAAGTTAATGTGTTTAGATATTTAAGACTCGTCAGCAGATGGGTCTGTGAAAGACAAGGTGAACCATATAATTGATGAGGGGATAAAGGTGTGTGGTCCACTGAGGCATCTTTGGAGACAAAGAACGTTACCCACTTTTGCATGGGTGTGAAGCATGAGTTGTAAATGTTGCAGTGAGGAGGCTGGAGGCAGTGGAGATGTCTGTGGACATTATGTGGTGTGAATATTATCTAGGGAATTCGTAGTTTGAAGATTAAACGGTGCGAGGTTGCTAAAAGCATTATCCAAACGGATGAGGACAAGTTTTTAAGGTGGTTTAGACATTTAGAAAGGATGGAGAAAAATAAGGTGACTTGGAGGGTGTATAAATCTGTAGTAGAGGGGGATAAGGGTCATCCTAGGTAAGGTTAGAGGGAGGGGTAAAGCCTTTGTATGCGAGGGGTTTGGATATTCAGTAGGTGCGTGTGAGCGTCTTAGGAGTGGAGGCAAGTGGTTTTTATGTACTGTTGGAGTGTGAGCAAAGTAACATTTAAGAAAGGATTCAGGGAAACTGGTTTGCCGGACACGAGTCCTGGAGGTGGGAAGTAGAGTGCCTGCGTTCTGAAGAAGGGGTGATATATTTGCATTTCGGAGGGGCCACTGAACTGTAATATGGGCATGCCTCTGGCAAAACAGTTATAGTGTGAATGATGGTGAGAGAGTTACTTCTTCTTCGGGTCACCCTGCCCATGCAAATCGTCCTGTGCTCTTTTATCCTTGCCCATTGCATGGAAAGGTTGAAGGTGAAAGCAAACCAAACTCTATACGAAATATGTCCCACTAAGAAAGCCTAAAGAGATCAAGCATAAAAAACGCAGACCTCGCTGATACAAAATAAGGTATGCTAAGGATCTCTCAAAACTACAAACGTCACAAGTCAGACACATTGCTTATAAGAAGCAGAAAGTAAAGCACTTATACTAGATAGAAATAGTGTAAAAGTAACAAATTGTTATTTAGAAAACTAAAAACATACGAAGTATATTTTTTTCACGTCTGCAAAATCCAATTAAACTTCAGGTATTGGTCCTCTACACTGTAAGGTCGTGCAAAGATGACTAGAGAGAGACAAATCAGCAGAATGAGTCCATATATAGCAATTCAATCGATACAAAAAGACTTAAAAACCCAGAATGTGTGGCATAAGCTACCCATCATATGCATCATATATATTTTTTCAGACCTCGAAGGAACTGGTAGCATTCAGTTGATACCCGGGAGTGATTCCTGTACTTTTAAAAAAAAGGCAAAACAATACTAACATAAGCTCTGTGTCCTTTGGAGAATGGAACTCAGACTGAAGTAAAATCCCTGAGACCTTTAACAGTGTGGACATAACTCCACTTTATAAACGAGATAACAGAACAAATAGCAAAGGATGAAAAAGAAACAGGTAAACAGTTCTCAAAACTAAAGAAATATATAAAAGAAATAAAAATAATAATACCATATGAGAGAACAATAAAGCAAATGCTACAGAGGCCTGGACAATAATTGGTTGGATTATAACTTTCAAAACACGAGATGTCACACAAACGATGGCAATATTCGGTTTACTTGTGCTGTTACGACTAGAATGTTATGACCTCACATCTCCGTTCAAGGCAGGACAAGTATGAGCTGGAAAATGTATACAGGTCATTTACTAACTGCAGAAAAATGACAAATCATCCAAACTACTGAGAACGTCTCAAAACATTCACTGGAGCGAAGATTAAAAATATACCAGATACCATATAGAGAGAAAAATACTCGAGTGTGATATCCCCATTCTACACACTACCATAATTTACTGAAGTGAAAAATATGGGAGGAAGTATTGAAGAAACTAACTGATGAGGAGGTTATAAGCACAATTAGAGTACACTGTAAACATTAGTAGCCCAAGATTCCAACTTTTTTGAGCAGATGTAACAAGTGTGGCCAGAACTAAGGCAAAATTTTTCAGGAGGAATCTAGACCCGAATTTTAAAATAATGCCAGATCAGCGATTTTGTAATAGCTATGTAGATCTGCTAGCTGCAATAGCTTGGTTAATCGGGAAGTCAGCAAAGGGGTGAGGGAACTCTCGAAATAGGCCACAGATAGGTGTACGGTGTGTGTGTGTGTGTGTGTGTGTGTGTGTGTGTGTGTGGTGTGTGTGTGTCTATACAGCCAGCTGATCTTGAAACATCTCTAACATTTTTCACTCTTTTTGTAACACTCAATATATTAACTTATGAGTAAGTGCTTGTATGTTTCTTGAATCTTATTACCTTCTGTTTCTTTCGTCACATTTGTAAACAACTCTATTTTTCCAATCAATTAAAGGGCTGCTTGTCTATCGCTTAATTCTGAATCGAAAAAACTTTTCCACTTATACATTAATATTTCAAGGAGGACATTACAAATTTTGCAAATTCTGGTATTCCCTGAATTTGTAGGCATAAGGCATTTCATGACAATTTGAATCAGAATCACATTGGCTGTCGCAATTGATACACTCAGACAATCACGCACAGATGCAATCAGAAATTTACATTCATGCAATGATGCAAAAATTGGCTGATACAGTCACATACTGACATGTATTAGGTACTAAAATAATTAGGTACGTTTTCTGACACGCTCTAGTACTGATTTATCATATTAAACAATTAGACAACGAAACAATCAAGTGCTGATACAATCAAGTACTGATAAAATCAAGTTCTGTTGCAATTAAGTACAGATGCTAAACAATGAAGTACAGATACAATCAAGTATTGTAGCCAAGAAAGCAAGTGAGAGCCGACATCTTGAAGGACGTAGACCAATGCCTTCACTTAGGACACCTTTAATGAAGCTCTTTCTGTTCTTTGACCTTGATCACTTCAAATTCATGTATTTGAAGTGATTAAGGTTCAAGGACAGAAGAGTCTTCAATAAAGGTGTTATAAGTGTCCGTTTCCTACACTTAAACTCTGATGTTACGAATACTGATATAACAAAGTACCGAAGCTGGAGCTGTGACTCGACCCTTGCAGCCACATATAGATGAGTACAAATAATCCCCTATGCACT